AACCTCCCTGTGTACATGCCCTTCCTCCTCTCCTGAGACACGCTGTGTTAGACCCACGCAGGAAACTTGTATCCTTGATGTACAAGTACTGTTTGCTCTAGACATTGAAACTTACACAATATCCCAGGCCTAATGCCCCTTGACTTTATTTACCCTGGAAGTCTCAGGTACCTGAGTACAAGCCCTGACAAGCTTTGTAGGACTTTGTGCTCACAGGGCTTCCCATTTGCATAAGGCAGAAACTTAAAGAAAACCAGCCGACCTGAGGCGTTGCTGATCTTCACTGTCTACTATTAGATCTGAAGCATGGTGGGCCCAGTGCGGTGGCCTAGCAGTTAAAGTCCTCACCTTGGATGCGCTGGGATCCCATATGGGCATTATATAAGTGAAGAAGCAACCAATGGGAAAATCTAGAATGGGAACAAAAATCTTAGCACACTACACAAACAATAAGGGACTAACATTCCGGATTTATAAAGAGCTTCAGAAGCTCATGACAGCAAAAGAAACCCTGTGAAGAAATGGGCCAAGGAAATGAGCAGACATTTTCCAAAAGAACAAATTCAAATAGCTTACAGATGTATGAAAAACGAAATTTCTCAGGCCCCCTATCTATCAGGGAATTAACAAATAAAAACCATCCTGGGGTTCTACCTAACTCGAAAAAGATTGTCAGAACTCTACCAATGATACTGGCTAGTGTGGATGTGGTGAGAAAGGTACCCTACTTCACTTTTGGTGAGAGTATAGGCCAGTACCACTGCTGTGGAAGTCAGTATGGAAAGTGCTAAGAAAACTGAAATTGATCTGCTCTATGACCCAGCGATCCCACTCTGGGAATGTATCCAAAATAAATGAAGTCCTCTTATGAGAAAGTGACCTGTAATCCCATGTTTAATACAGCACTTATCTATATTAGTAAAGACATGGAAACAACCCAGATGCTCGTCAAAACAGGAATGAATAAAGAAACCTTTATTAACAAACCTAGTTTGTGCGGTATTGCTCAGCTATGAAAGAAAATGAATTTAAACCATATACAGAACCCATAGGTGATTTACCTGAGACCCTTACTTGTCCAACCACAGGGCTCAGAGTAAAGCAAACACAAAATGTTTTGGTTTAGAAATGGCTTCAATGTGTACCCCGGGGGCTCAGGTTGGAATTTAATCACCATTAGGAGCACCTGATACACAAACTGGCACCTGTATGGGATACTGGTGCTACAGGTAGAGGCTTAGCATGCTATATCACAGTACCAGCCCCTTCAGAGTCCATATGTACCGGTGTGTATTACAAACTTAAAATGGTATGTATTGTCCAGTCTGGTACTTGAGCCTTTTACCTCCCAAAAATGATTGTGAGAATATGCATTTATTTAACAGAGCATGAGCTATGATAATGAACATAAGGACAGTTTAAAATTCCAAGAGGATGGCCCAGTGTGATGGCTCTGTGGCTAAATCTTCATCTTACATGTGTCAAAATCCCATATCGGTACTGGTTTATGTCTCAGTTGCTCCACTTTCCAGATAGCTCAATGACTGTAGCCTGGGAAAGCAGTAGAGGATGGCCTGACGCCTTGGGACCCTGTACCCACATGGAAGACCCAGAAGAAACTCGTGGCTACTGGCTTTGGATCAGCTCAGCCCTGGCCTTTATGATGACTTGGGAAGTGAAGCAGCAGATGGAAGCTCTTTGTCTCTCTTTCTCCCTATAAATCTGACTTTCAAAAAAAATCCAAGTGGAGTTGTTTAAAAAGTCTAAAATTCTCCTCAAAATAGCATCATAGAAGACTATATAATGACATGGCTTATAAAATCAAGTGGAACAACCACATTGTAGAGAAGAATAATACAACCTTTAAGTGACAAATGACTGCCGGGAAATATGCCTATGTGTCATTCTTGCTTATCATTGGCTGATGAAGTCATGGGGAAATTCTGGTTTTTGATTTTTGATTGATACAGTTCCAATAATCTGTACTACTCATGTGATTGCAGAGGAAACATTAAGAGATGTATTTTAAAAGCATAACTTTATTCCTAGTATGACAAATATTGCCCAATGTCTTTTAGTCTACTTCCTTTGTTAGAGTTGGTGTGGAATTATCAAGGCTATCTGTTTGAATTCCAAGATCTTGGATTTCTCCACCATGTCCAAAGGTCTACTAACTATTAGGCTATGAGGCCATAAAACACATTGTATATATGACTAGAAATATGAGTATTCTGAGTTTGTAAAAGATGCTGATATTTTAGCTTAGAATTGAGCACATGTATTGAGGTTAATTAACAATGCTTCAAATTATAGACTACTGCTCTTTCTTACACTTAACCATCAGTTAGCTATGGTAATGTGCAGGAAATGACTACAGGGGAAAATGAAATCAGCAGGGAAAAAAGAGAAAGAACTCAGTTTAGTCACAGTTTAGGTTTAATTGTCAACTGTCAAAACTGGCAAGAGTGCCTTATAAGTAAAAATTCTAGTCTCTTCTTGAAACCATGGGTAGTAACAAGAAAGTGACATTAATTCCTTGTCTTTTATTTTTGCAGACTATCATTCATAGAAGCTGTACAAATGATATGCCTGGTGAAATCAAAAACAAAAGGCTGGTCAGGGATTCTAATATAATCCCCAGGGGAGCTTTTAAGCCTATCATTGTAGAAACCTCACTCCAGACAATTGAGACCAGATTTTCTGTGGAAGGGGTGACACTAATTGCTAAACTGCCTGATGTATTTCTAGCTGATTCTATCTGCTTTCTGACTGTGTTAAGTATATATTTTTTCATTGCTATACCAAAACACCTAAGGTTGGGTAATTTTATCTTTAAAAAGAGGCTGATTTAACTTAGAACTCCGGGAGGTTCAAGTGCTCATATCAGCTGACATTCTTGATGGTAGACTCTCAAGGGGGTGCATGGTGTTCTATGGGAAAGGACAGGGAGCACGCATGCTTGCTTGTGTGTGCCTTATGTATGTCTCTACGGAATATTCACCACTTTAGTGGCCAACTTGCAACACTAATTGTTTACTGTGTATACTGTATTAGGATGTTTATATGAATTCTTGCATGTAACTTCTTGGAAAACTATATGTCAGATATTATTATTCTCATTTTATAATCAAAGTATTGCTTCTTTGGAGTAGCTCATCTAGTATCACACACAGCTTATAAGAGAAGAAGCTGGGCCTAGACACAGAGCTCTTCTGAATCATTCTTTTCATTATTATTCACTATATTCATTATAATATAATTCATCATTGTTATTACTAACTGAAGTCTGTTTTTACTACAATTTCCTTCATTTTTACTTAGCATACCTTTTTGGTTCCGGAATCTCATCTAGGATAAAATATTAATGCAGTTGCTGTGTCTTATCATCTCCTTTTGGCTATGACAGTTTCTCAGACTTTGCTTGTTTTCTCTAAGTCATTGCTGCTATTCCTCCTCCTTTTTCTCCTCCTTCTTTTCAATATAGTCATTCCTCATCACCCACAGCACCACAGAAGCTGCAAATCATTGTGTATCACTGCATTTGGCTGTAGTAATCTCAGCAATCCTACACAGTACTTATTACAATCCTCATGTTTTAGATAAGAAAACTTTAGCTCAGAGAGGTGAAAATGTGTGGTCCAGACCACAGAGATGGCTAGAGACGAGGCAGATATTCTGACCTTAACTTTCTGACTGCGAATGTCATACACTTTTTTACTTCTGTGGTTTAGATGGTTCTGCTTGTGTGCCTTTTTTATTTTTATTTTCGAAGATTTATTTTATTGTTATTGGAAATTCAGATATACAGAGAGGAGGAGAGACAGAAAGGAAGATCTTTCTTGCAATGATTCACTTCCCAAGTGGCCTCAGCAGCTAGAGTTGAACCAATCTGAAGCCAGGAACTTCTTCTGGGTCTTCTATGCCATGCAGGATCCTAAAGCTTTGGGCTGCCTTTGAATGCTTTCTAGGGCCAGAAGCAGGGAGCTGGATGGGAAGCAGGCAGCTGGGATTAGAACCAATGCCCATATGGGATTCGGGGCATGCAAGGCAAGGACCTTAGCCAGTAGACTACCATGCTGGCCCCTGTGTGACTTTTTAAATAGGATCATTGTTAGAGTAACTAACATGAAGACAATCTATATCTGCTCCAACTCCCAAACTCCATGAATAGATGTCCCAAGAAATGTTTCTAAGCTAAGATGAAAAGCCATCCATGAAATTCATTCAGTCTTTCACATGGTATGCAGTCACATTTTGAACAGTTCCAATAGTTAGAAAGCAGAGGGGCTGTATTAGGTTCTCAACACAGTCACCTAAGTTCTTTCTCCAAGAACTCAGCACTGAGTATCCTTGTCCCCCCCCCCCCCGGATTCTCCTTCTCCCCTTCCAGCAGCATGGCTCTCTTTATATTTCTCTCTGCTGTGTAAACCAGTTTTTAGAAACTGTGTTGAAAGTCACAGAATCTCTATTGATTTTCAAGATCTTATGGTGCATTAAAGCATGTCAATGTGCATATCCTATAGCATCAGGGCTCAATAATGATCATTAATAGTAAACTCTTCCAGCATCACACCAATCACCTGCCCTCCCCTCAAATAAATCACCAGCTCCTAAGGACCTAGTACTGACACTTCTTTCAACCCTTTAAAAACAGCGTTTCTCTGTAAAAAAAAAATCGCTTATGAAACGTTTGGGAAGGGAATCAAGCGCAACAGGGATGCTTTCTCTGAGCCTCAGAAATGTAAGTGCAAAGGTGATGAACTGTGGTCACTGGCCACTGCTTCTTCCCTCCTGTCTCTCCCATTGCTGAGAGAGATAAGCCCGTGGAGCTGCTGAACAGCCAGTGAGTACGCGAGGCGGGGCAGGGACTGCTGAGCGCTGCCAGTCTGTCTGCTTGTATGCCACAGGTATCCCTGGGCAGAACAGAAGGAGGAGGGCGCTTTGTAATATCCTAAGTCCTCCAGGTCCCCGCTCACTCCCCGGGCTTGGAATTCAGCACCATGGATAGCGCCAGAGCAACAGCTCAGACACGCCTGGATGCAGAAGGTTTCTGGCAAGTGTGGCACCGCTTGGACACAGAGGGTGAGTAGAGCCAGACACTTTCCCAAGCATTATAGGCTTAGTGTTTCCCTCTCTTTAAACTTCATTCCCTGCAGGTAAGACTACTCACCTGCCTAGATAAGACAAAAGACCTGATGTGGTGCTTAACGGGTGTTTGTTGAATTTCAAGAAACTCTTGAAGAGTTGGGAAGTGTAAATGATTATGTTCTGTAGAGACTGACAGGTTTTACCTATATGAAAGCTTTGGGCTGTGATTCCCCATTCCAATGTCAGCATTTTTAACCAGCGACTTTATTGTACATGCTTGTTGCTCCTCTCTGAGGGAGGATGGATTTCACCAACTTTCAAAATAATGGCTCCATTTGAAAAACGCTACTTGAAACTAGAGTGAAACTACTTCTCATTTGCTTTGTTTTATAAATAATTTACAAAACAGAAAGAAAACATATAAATGTGTTTTAACCTTGCACACCAGAATCCAATACTTAATATCTTGTAAGTTTTTCTAAGCTTGTCAAACTTTTGGTAATTGAAATAGCAAAAATACCATTCACAAGGATTGTCTAAAGTTTGAAATTAAAAACAAATATGAGTATTAAATGTTGCATGTCATTTGTATAAATGTTGTTTACTCTTGTTTTCAGAAACAGGCTACATAGAAGAGAAAGAACTCGATGCTTTCTTTTATCATATGATGAGGAAATTGGGTACTGATGTAAGTGTTTGCAACAATAATCATTTCTTCATATGTTTATTAGTGGAATTAAAGCACTCAATCTTATGTGGATTTGTACCTTTTAGTCCTGTATGACCTCTGTCCTTCCTTGCATGCACACAATTTTTCTCCTCTCCTAGCAACATGGAGGGATTAGGTAGGCTTTATAAAAGAAACAACTGTAGCAGTATAGATCTGCTGGTCACTGACTTTTATTGTGATGTCTTTCATCTCTTAGCCTGATTGTAGACTCAGTCAATGCCATTTTGAATATCTCCTTGGTAATGGCTCTGATAATGCATTCAAACCTGGAGTTGATCAAAAAGGTAGAAAAAATGTTAAGCTAAGAGCTTTAAGGTTCTAGATGTTCAGTGCATATGCTTCTCTTTTGATAGAAAACTAACAATAAACTCTCTTAAAATGATTGTTTCAGTATTTTAGAAGAGGTTACACATGTTTAGGGAAGACCCTAAACTGACCAACATAACCAGAGCCTATATATAATTAAACCAGTGTATCCCATGTCCATGTTCCAGACAGTGAATCTGGCCTAGCACTTTACCTCTTGAAGGTGCCCACACAGACACTTGAGCCTTGGGGTGGACCCAAGCTGATATAGGCACTCAGAAGGTAGAGGAGTTCTGTGAACAGGTGCATTAAAATGCATTGTGAAGGTGGTATATTCTGAGACTTCAATTATTTACCTCAAGAATTTTGGAGTGTGTCATATTTTCATGTAAGATCCTAGAGAGAGCTACCAGGAGCAATTGTAATGGAAGAGATGTGGTTGTGGTATTGGGGCTCCAAGAAGCAACTCAGAAAGCAAGAGTCTACCACCTGCCTCTGTTAGCCACACGGAGCTCTTGGTCTATCTATCATTGCCTCTCACAAACTGTTTAAGTCTATCTCATTTTCCTCCTCATGTATTTTTTCCTCTTTGTGTTTTACAGCTCTTCTCAACACCCCTTACCTTTCTCACTGATCTTGCTGTCTCTCATCTTTTCTCTCTCTCTCTGATTTATTTCCATCTCTCTCTTTTTCTCTTTGTTTCCCGTTCTGTCTCTGGACTATTTCTCAAAGCTCTCTTCTCCTGCCTCTTCACATGTCTTCTATTTCTCTTATCCTTTTTCTTCTCTTTCTGTCTCTTTTCTCTTCTTGATTTTCCTTTATTTTTCTCTTTTTAATCATCTCCACTACACCCCAATCACTTTTTAGGTATTGAATCTCTCTGTATAGATCTTTCTATAACTGCCGCCCTCCCTTCACCTTGCCTGTACAGCCTGTGAAGTAAAGGGAGTGAAAGGTGAGAAGAATGAAGAGATGAATCTCTTACTTATTTGGGTCAGACCTTCACATACCCTTCCCCTTATCCTTCATTCTGCACTTGCATCGGGTATACAGTAGAGCAGAGGAAGAAGCCTCCTATACATGCGGCTTCTGTTTTAGTCTTGCCACCCGGGGTTAAAGACCAACAGTCCATGATGAAGCCTCCACTTCGGCCCACAGTCTCCACTTACATCTGCAACTGACATTTTAGGGACTTACAAGTCAGGTACTCATTGGTCAACCATGGAAAGGGGTATTTGAGAAAAGTAAAATGAGGAAGGGAAAGTCATCCAAATTTTGGAATAAACTGGATGGTCTACTCCTAATCTAAAAGTTCAGATACTTGAATTCTCACACCTTTTTTTTTTTTCAGATGGATCCATGCCATAGTGATTTACTTTTCTGTAAATCACTTTTCTGGAGAGGGAAAATTGCTGCCAGTCTTGAGGTTTCCAGTACAAGTTCAGTACGACTTATTCTCAGTCATGCGAGGATATGACTGCTTAAACATAAGGATCAGCTCTAAGTTGAGGGTGCAGTGAATTGGCATTTTTGAAGCTTAGCCAGACTTACAGGCATTGTTGCTGGTAGTGAGAGAGAGAGGGGCATTTTTTTTTTCTTGTTGCCAGCTACCCTCATCTCTAACCCTTCCTCAAATCTCAATGGTCGAATAATTCTCTCACACCTGGACACAAATGGTCTTGGAGGATGGCAGACAATGATTGGGTCACCTGTGTCTTGCAGAAATGTGTTCTATGTAGGTGCCTTGAGGTTGGAAAGAGGGTTGGCAGCTCTCAGGGTGCTTAGATTGGAACATATGATGTTTTGTTTTGCTTAAGAATGATCTTCATTTGTTAGAATGTAGACTTCTGGGTTTCATCCCTAGTTATTTCAGTATATTTGTGGACTGTCAAGGATATTGCATTCAAAAATATAATCTATATTTCCAGAAACAATAACAGCCTGGAGAGGGGACTCTAATGAAATAAGACCAGTCCCACTGTGCTATGACAGCAGTCCCCAAGCCCTTTCCTTTGTTCTAGATCAGGGAGAGCTCTTTGGAACCAGGATAATAAGTTGTGCAAATTGTTCATCTGAAAATGACACTATCTACTGCTGGTGCCTATCCCAATTGCTGAGGTATTATGCTGAGGAGGATGATTTCAGAGACCATCACTGGGTACTCTGAACTACTTGCATAACAGGGAAACTTTTTGTAACTCTGAATCTTTTTTTCTTGATGAGTTTACATCATATACACCAGGCCTTCAAAAATGGAAACCTCTTCAGTTGTCATTTGCTTGTGATGCCTACTTTTGATGGTCATGCCCAGCAGGTACAGAAGTTGGCAGCAGACAGTGCCTTCAATCAGGCAGCCTCTGCCTGGTGCAAGCAGTTCTTGGGACCCCTGAATAACTTTATTACAGCCTCAATAACTAATGGGTCACAGAGACCTCGAAAGAAAGAACTTGAAGATTCTAACAGCAATGTACTCAATTTCAGAGAGCAATCAGCCTGCTTGTAATTACCTGCACCTTATAGCCACTTAGGAGGCCAACACAATGGAACAGTCAGCCACTGTCTCTATTACTTCTCCCAACCCTTTTCCTCTCACATGCTGAGAAATGGCCTCATATCTAGCCAGCCCACGTACAGACTCCAAGCCCTGGAGTCTCTGAGTAGGACTGATGGGGCATGATGATGGAGGGTGTGGGAAGAATCCCAGGCTTTGATGCTAGAGTTTGAGAGTACATCGGTGCTCTCAAACCAAAGATGGCACATACAACCTGGCCACTGCTTCTTCAAATTCACATTTGTCTACTTTTAAAATTTGTATCACCCTGGTCAGTTAACTGCTTTTGGAATGTGATCCATAAATGATCATTTATTCCTTCTACAGATACTGTGTTAAGAGAGATGGAAAAAAATTGCAATCCTGCCTTGACTGCAATCCTGGCTTGATTTGCAATTTGAGGTGGAGAAGATCCATATGCAGAGACAGGAATTCAGTGTTTATGTCCTAGCACTCAGTATCTACGTCTGTGTAGCATCAGCATGCCACAATAACCTCCCTTGGTTTCAATTTTCATATGCATAAAATGGGGAAAATAATGTCTTTCCTTGCCTGTGTGACAATGCAGATTGCGGAGATGTCACAAGTAAAAAGTGCTTTTCAGTGGTAGATTCTCCTCCTGTGTACACATTCTTGGGTCCTTAGTTTTCCCACTGTTTGCTCTGGATTTCCTTTGCTCTGGGTTACCTCACAAGGAATAATCGGCACTTACTCTGTTAAATACAGAACTAAATGTTAAGTTCTAAAAATTACATGTCTCAGTGAGATTTCCAATTTGTGAGAGCAAGCAAGATTGCCTTTGGAGGGTGCCTTAAACCACATCCAGTCTTCCTTTGGTACATAGAGTAAAGGAGACTGTCCAGAGAGAGAGAGCAGAGAACAGTCAAGCTGTCACCCCAGAATTATGACATTTGTTTAGTCTTTGACACATGATCTAGGCATCATTTTTTTTTCATATCTTCACTTTAGATTTTCATTTCAGTCCATCCATTTCATTTGGTATGTGTGTTCACATAGGAAGGTAGCTATTTTTCTCTTTAACAAGGCCCTTCCTTGACTATTCTGTTTATAATCATCAAAGGAATACATTGGTCGATGATTAACAGAGTCTATCTCAGTCCTCTTACTTTAATCATCCTGAGTTTCTAAATACATAATAGAGCAGATGGCCTTAGTATGGCCAGAATACACAAATCCATGTGATTAATGCATCGTCTCAGTCACCAGTGCTATTGGTTTGTGTTTGTGCCTACTGTCCCATTTAAACAGCCATTCATTTGTATTATATTTAGTTCTAATTTACAAACATTTTCATTCTTCTTTTTCAGAGGCTCACCTTCACTGTAATTCATTCTGAATAAATCTCATTCCTTCCTTTTCTTAGTATTTAGCTGTGCATGGTATTAGCCATTGAGTCAACTAGCTCTTTCAGCTGAATGCACTTCATCCATTTTTGGTAGTCTAATTCCATCTAGATGAAGACAATGAATGAATAGGAAAGTATATAGAGCCCTGTTGCTGTACTTGCTGGAAAAATTTGTCTGTGGCTGGACATGGAAGAGGAAAACCTACTGACTGACATTAAATTTGGCAGTTCCCTATTTTTCTGATGCCTGTTCCAAATCTGCAAATATGGAAAAGTCAGGTATTTAGAGATCAAAAAACTTTAATTAGCTTAGATCAACTCTTTACCTCATTATAACCCAAGATCAAATATTTTCCATGCAATCTCCTGTAGGTAGTTAAGGAGACAGGATTTGAATGTCAGTGGCCAGAATCTTGAAGTTAATTCTATGAAACTTCCTCAGCATCAAGTTTATATTGGGGATTAACATTCTGCTTGGTTCTTTAAGAATTAGCTTCCAGTCTTTTATAGTTTTATTATATTTAATGCATCCTACCATCTATCTGCCATATATCCTGCCATCTGGCCTACATAAATTATGAGGAAAATCAACAAGTTCTTGAATTGTGTTTGGACTGTTGCATACTTTTATAAATCACAAATATTGATTTTTTATGAACCCTACTAGATGCTGTATGCTTTGCATGAAACAGCAGCAAGCTGTGGTGAGAGGTGCACAGGATCAGATATCAACACTGCTGGTTTTAGTCATGTTCTGGCAATGTCCAGCAGTGTGCTAATTGACCTTTCTGGCCTTTTTCCTCATGAGCAAAATGGAAGAACAGGATCTCTAGTCATTACAAGTGATGCCTAATGTTCCCAGTTTGTTTTCTTCTTTGGCCCTTTGCTTCCAGATCTCTAAGAATGATCAGAAGCATGTTTAAGTTACATTGCAGCAATAGATAAAATTATTGCAAAATGGGGTACTCTTGGTTCCATAGGTCAGCAACTTCCTGGTAGAGAGTTTGTGTTCCTTTAGATTCCTACCAGACCTTTCTCTCGCTAGAAAACATCCTAGAGGGCCCGGCGCGGTGGCGCAGTGGTTAAGGTCCTCGCCTTGCACGCCTGGGATCCCACATGGGCGCTGGTTCTAATCCCGGCAGCCCCGCTTCCCTTCCAGCTCCCTGCCTGTGGCCCGGGAAACCAGTGGAAAGCAGTCGAGGACGGCCCAAAGCTTTGGGACCCTGCACCCATGTGGGAGACCCGAAAGAGGCTCCTGGCTTCGGATCGGCATAGGATCGGCCATTGCGCTCACTTGGGGAGTGAATTATTGGACAGAAGATCTTCCTTTCTGTCTCTCCTCTCTGTATATCCGCCTTTCCAATAAAAATAAAATAAATCTTTAAAAAAATTTTTTTGAAAACATCCTAGAAAACCTGAAAAGGTCAACCAATGGATGATTACCCCAGGAAAAGCGGAATATACTGACAAATCAGGACTGAAAAAACTGACTCACATAACTAGTAGTGGGAAAATGTAAAGGAGAATTGCTTTGCTGGAAACTATAATACATAAAGTTGAAAAAAATGCTCATAGGCCACAAGTGAAGCCGGAAGTGGAAGAAGATAGAAGATTCCTCCTGTCTCCCTATGTTATGGTGAAGGTTCTGTGGGATAAAATTTGTTTAAAAGCTTGGTCCCATGCCTATCTGCTGGCTGGTATTCCAAACATGGCCATTCACAGCCCTTCCTTCCTTCTTTCCCCTTGTAATGGCTAGATTGTAGGTAGTTTTAATTCTTTGGCATGCTTCCTTTTCTACCATCTCTTCACTTTTATGGAAGCCATTTAGGAAAAGGCCTCCATGAAAGGGAAAGCATGACAATGAAGTAATGGGAGACAAGGAACGGGTCTAACTGACTGATCATCATGTTACCAAGGATCACAGTTTTTTGACCCATGGTGGGGGTTCAGTGGAAAACAGTCTGGGGTTTTATACCTTGGGCCACATGACATGGTGAATTAAAGTGTTTTAAAGATTATATTTTAGAAAGGACTGAAAAACCAGCCCACATTGTTCTGAAAAGTTCTTCTTTACCTCTAGATACTATATTTATTGCTAGGATATTCTTTAGTTATTCTTGAGAGTTATACATGATAAAGAAAGAAGTGGATTAGTCTAAGTGCACTCCAATGGATGAAGTATCCAGAGAGTCATGTACAAGCCTGGGGTCACCGCTACCTCTGCACCAGTTGTGCTAGTCTTCAGCAAGGCCATTTCTTTCCAGCCCTTCCTACTCACAGGGAGTGCTTGGGACTAGGGGTGGGGTGATAGTATAGAATCTACTTAGCAAGAATTCTAGAGAGTCTGGTGGAATGGGGTATGGTTAGGAATTTTCTACGCCTTTCATCACCTATGTCAGACAGACTCCAAACTTCATCATCAGGTTTTTGAATCACATTTCCTGTAATAACCCTGGCATAAGCCAAAGAAGGAAAGCTACCTGTGTAGGAAAGGTAATTCATGGAAGGGAGAATGACATCTTTGTTAACAATTAGTTTATTTGTTTTACTTTTGCTGTTTTAACTATTTTTCCTCAGATAATACAAGAAGATGACTAAGATAGTTAAGACAAACTGGGGATCCACAAGAACCAGAATCTTGATTTGGGAAGATCAAAATCTCTGAGTTCATGGGAAGAACATCTGTGTATTAATTTTAACATAGTCTTCTATCAACACTAAATAAACAATCATTTAGAATTCCTTCTTCCAAAACAAAAGTGCTAGTCTGTAGCTTTTCTTAAAAATCTGTATTTTAATAAATCACTAACTGTAAATTTTACCTAGTCCAGATTCTTGTGACAATTGGTTACTCAAAACATCTCTTACTGTGTCTCTTCTACAAGAGAGGATTGTTTCCAGTGGCCAAAGAACCTACTTTTCAAGATAGAATTACATGAGTATTAAGCTACCTACCTTGAGTATTTGCACTTCTGAGGGTATTGTGGGGATTCCAGTGCCTTTGATGTAATTAATATCTGTTGCAGGATGCAGTCCTGGAAGACAGTGTGCAAAAGGCAAAGCAGCAATTTCTGATCACCCGAGACATCTCTAAAGATGGCCGTGTGCCGATGAAAGAGGTACCTCCTGTAGCTGTGCCTTCCTTGTCTGTTTCTTTAAGTTCTTGGGTTTAAAGTTCCTATGAAAGACAGTGAAAACCTTATGTTCAGATTGGAAATTCACATTTTCTACAAGGTGTTTGATGTAAATAACATTTTTGAAGTAAACACTTCTCTGAAAGAAAGACTTTACAACTTGTTCATTATTGTGGACTAAACACATCATAACCACTATCATTTCTATTTTGGATTGTATATTCATGGAGAGTTAATGTCCTTGTAGGAAAGTGGCATTTTAAAAAAAGAATCAGTGAATCGTGAATGACAACCAAAGGCACAGAAGCATGAAGTGGGGTTCTGTTCTGTAAGAGCCAAGATTTTTGGCTCTGTATGTTCCCACTTTCCCTCCCCCAGATGTAACATGTCCATGCCGCTTATGCAAGAAGTATTTTGCAAATGCACCCTTCCAGTGTCCCAGATTATTCCTTTTTTTTGTTCCCTTAGGTTGCCAGAATGTTCTTGTCTGAGGATGAGAACTTTCTTCTGCTCTTTCGTTGGGAAACCCCCTTGGACAGCAGTGTGGAGTTTATGCAGGTGAGAACTTTTTCCTCTGTGAAGGCAGTTAAAGAGGAGGATGGGACACTAGCCACTTGTTATGGCTGCTCTACTTCCCTGCCACTGATCCTCCAGGGAGGTACATTGCATAGAGGACAGGGCAAAGCAAAGGAGCCTTTAGTGATGTGGACCGTGACCCTGACCCCAAGCATATTCCCACAGTGCTGGCTACGGCTGCTCCTGAGTTGACTGGTTCCTTTAGCCTGGGCAGAAAGATACAGACAAGGACTAGGTAGCTGCACTAAAGTAAGGAATGGTGGCTTAGGAGGATGGAAGTTGGGGATTGTGAAGCCTGGAACCATTTGCTCCACCTGAAACCTATAGTCTGTGGTGCTCCTGTGAACTTTGCCTTTTATCAGTTTTGTCTGGAAATCTAGCCTTATGTAAAATTGCCTATTTTCAGTGTTGACAATCAATTCTGGTTTTGAAGGCCCAGTACAGTGCAGTAAGCATATAACTGTAGCACAGTGTTTATTCAACTTTCTCATTGTAATCATTGGGTTTGAGCAAAATCTAAGGAGTAGCCCTTATGGTTCCTTTTTCACTGAGCCATTCCAACTTCCATTCTCTGTTGGCACAAAGGACCATATAAGGGCAAATTAGGGTTTCTTTTGGGCACAACAGGTCGTTTAACATACTCTTGTATCCAGGGTCCCACTGTTTAAGAGTTATCACATCCCCAAAGGGATGATAACAGTATATTTTGAATTATTTTTGCTTACCTTTATGTAAAATTGGGGAAGCACATACACAGGTAACCAACAGAAGACATTTGAATGGCTCACAATTATATACCAGAAGACTAAAAAATACAAAACCAATATACTAAAATTTTATTAATGTGATGCATATTGAGAGAATCCACCAAAACATATTGTATTAGCTAGAAAACCCAGAGATAATCACTATCATTCAGTTCGTAGGCGTCTTATGCAGAATAAAAATTTTCTGGGAAGTAATTTTGAAAAAATTCAATTAGAATTCTTTAAAATTCAATTATCCACAGTTAATTGTTAAATGCTTTACCCTTTGATTTAATAGTTTTACCTCTCCAGGCGTCTTTCTCATGGATATAATCAACATAATCAGAGATGTAGACCGAAGTTTTCTGTAAATTATGTTCATTAAATATTATACTATTACATGTAGTTAAAACTGAAAATATTATAAAAGTCCAGCAATGAAGGAAAAGCTTGGTATACTTAGTTTCCTTCATGGGACTCATTCCCTCTACAGCTGCTTATGCAGTCAGGGATCTTCCAGCCTCTGTTCTGGATGCTGCAGACTCGATAAATAAAAGCCCTACTATGAAACTAGAGACTGAGTTGTCGAGTAGGATTTAACAAGATGGAAGAAGTATAATACAATATTAACAAGCACAATTGTCTATACAGTATGGTCTTAATTTTATTTAAAGACTCATTTAATATTTTCATAAAGAAGCATGTTAGTAGTATGTTAATGCATACAAAATAAAAGTTTACTGCTTTATATAATTGTCATACTCTTCTTACTTTTGTATTTTTCAACTGTGTAGAATCATACTTACTCATTTAAAATGATTTTAAATGACATTTTCAAAAGTTATTTTGTATTTTAACATGCTCATGGAAAAATTTTTAATGACAAGAGGAAGTAAACCACCATATGTATGGAAGATATGATGACTTCCAGTACTGTTTCGTTGTGTGTGCAACACAAACTAGATGGCCAGGTAGACATGTGATATGTAGTTTTCTCTGGCACAGCCACAACAATTTCCAAGATTATAAATGTCTTCTTTTGTAGTTTTACTAATTTTGTAGAGTGAATAAAATTTATGTTTATAATCAGAAACAATTAAAATGTATTGTCTTGATTAGTTTCAAGAAATAGAAAAAAACCCAGCATGGTAACCCATTGGCTAAAGTGCCTACCTTGCACGCTCTGGGATCCTATATGGACGCTGGTTTGTATCTCGGCTACTCCACTTCCTTTCTACTTTCCTACTTGTGTCCTGGGAAAGCAGCCAAGCACAGTCCAAAGCCTTGGGACCCTGTACCCATGTGGGAGACACAGAAGAAGCTCCTGGCTTCGTATAGGTTGAGCTCTGGCTGTTGTGGCTACTAGGGGAATGAACAAGTAGATGGAAGATTTTTCTCTCTCTCTCTTTCTCTTTCTCTCTGTAAATCTGGGTTTCCAATAAAAATAAAATCTTAAAAAAAAAGAAACAGAAAAATGGCACTAAGAATTTTCCTCTTTTTGTAAAATATACATTCTATTACTATATTTCCCTTCAAATCTGACAATTTATTCTAATGAGACATGTTTTTCATTTCTCTGCCTATTTACTTTTTTCAAAAAATTCACTGGAATTTTGAATCCATTTACTTTGACTTTCTTTTAAAAATATAGACATGTTGAATATTTCCTGTAAACATATTTGCCTGTCAGCATTGACAAAACTGGATGATAATTTAGCCAGAAAATGCTTACAGAACAGCATGAACAAGCATTGATACTTTAAATTATTATCTGAAAATCCTCACATGTTTACATATTCTCATAATGGAATGTAGGGTATAAATCACACTGAGCTCCTTGACTTCGTAAGTCTGAGTTTGGACATACATGACACCAACTGAAAAAAGGGTGTTTCTTAACTCTGCTCACGGAATGGCAGTACCGCATCAATGCCTGCAAGCATCCATGCAGTATCATGGTAGGGCCCTGATTTTCACTCTAGAACTAAGATCTCTGGAGCTGGTAACATAGGCAATCTAGGATTTAATGAAATTCTACCAACTAAAAAATATGCATAGTATACTTTTCCTTTTGTGTAGCAGGTAGGGAGTTTGCTAACTGGCATGAACTTGTCATGAAAAACATCAAAGGTGTTAGAATGACAACATGTTTGGAAGGAAGCAACCAAATGGTTTCTTCAAAGGGTTTAACCCTCTCAGCCTTCCAGTTCAGTAACTGCTTTGGGCTGGCTGCATGTTGACCTCAAACCAAGGAGAGAGAGGGGAAAGAGAGAGAGAGCACGCCAGTCACGGGGAATTATCAGCAGTGTCTCACACTCCCTTAGATCCAATGGCACAAAAGGAAATTTTCTTAGAGAACTTCTCTACAATGTAATTTTAATTTTTTTCACCCTTCCATGTAGGCATTAGTGTTAGGAACTTTAGTCTTAAGTAGGTTCCTCAGTCTGACTTCCTACCTTGTGCTGGTCCCAGGATTTGTTTCTTGTCTACCACATGAGTGATTTTCCAATAAACTTGGGACTTATATCCTGGAAAATGATGAGGTGTGATTATTCGTGCTGCTCAGGATTAAAGCCATTAATTTAGAATCTCTTAACATACATATTTTATTATGGATTTTGACAATTTTTCTAAAGAAAACCATCCAAAAATCCAGTGATTTTTAAAATCTGGTAGAGAAATGAACACTTTGTCTCTTAGAAGAAATCAACAGATATGAAAAGAAGGAAATACAGAAATGTATTTTTAATAAGGATAGGAAAACTTTTTAGTGTCCTTTTTTTTTCCTATTTCTTAAAATTACCAAAAACTACAAATGTTAGTAAAATATTAACAAAGTGACAAATGAAGAAATGTATAATCTTTGAAATTCTGTGTATGGGCAATCACTTGCACGTGGAGTGTTACCTCTGACAAGGCTGAAAGGTTAAGGGATACATGTGGAATATGACCAGAAGGTTGAGGAAGTTATATGCGTCATATAGCCAATTGCAGTGTCTTTGGTGGGCGGGGCTCTGCCAGAGACACCCTCTTGCCCTTCCCTTCCTTACTCTTTAAAATGCTGTAACCTGTGGATAATAAAAGGGACATTCCTCACCTGTTTGTTTCTGATGGTTCCTCGGCCGACCTTGGGGCTGCTGGCAGGGCTATCCCCCAAGACAGGTGCAGGACAAAATTATATGTTGCTTCTATGTATACCTTTCCATCGAGTTTGAATTGCAATAAAACTGTATTGGATGTCATTGTATTTCCTATACATACAGTGGTCTACTTACTGTTTGCATTAAAAAATTTCTGTAAGCATTTTGGTTGCTTTAGCCCTCCATATTTCTCTGAGTTTTTGCTTCCAGTTTTGTTGTCAGAAATTCTCTCATGTTTTAACCAGCCCAGTTTTACCTTTTGGGAATTGTTTTTATAGTATCATGTATTTTTAGGTATTCAGTACAAAGAAAACTTCCTGGTTTTCCATGTAGCTCAAACCGAAGTCCATCCCCTTATTATCCTACTATTGTGAGCTTTCCAAGAAGAGATCTTCAATAAAAGTTTGGGGTTCCTCTCAATGATTCAGGTGACTGCAGGGAAACAGTTGAGTAAGTTCTGCCCAAACAATTGCTGCTACTGAAGAAAGCCTTCAACTCCCATGAAAAGGCTTCTTTTTCTACAGTTAACCACCATTTCCAGATGTTGGGCCCTAGTAGACACCAACAGAGGTCAATTGCCAGTTATTTGAGACAGGTGTATGGACAACTTTTTTGTGTTTCAGATTTGGCGCAAATATGATGCAGACAGCAGTGGCTTTATATCAGCAGCCGAACTCTGCGTATGTGTCCCTGGGGCATGTTCTTGGGTGATGGGTGGGCTTTTTTTGTCACTGTGAATTTGACATATGTGTGTTGCCTGAGTTTGGTTTCAGTGGGTCCAACAAATGTGGATTTGAGCAGTCACTTTTAAATAAAATGTATTCATGTTGGAAAGGTTTAGAACCTATAGGTTTGATTACTTTTTGTGAGCAACCAGCATAATTGAATATTTATGATGCTTTTCTGGGTTCCATGAGCTCCCTGCAAGCACTAACAGCCCACCAAACTTGGAGTTACTCCTTGCTAAATGCATTTTATTATTTTCTTGAATTAAATGAGCCGTAACTCTTAATGTAAGGTCTCTCAAGACCTTTGCAGTGTACTTGCTCTCTACTTAAAATACAGTTTTTCTCTTGGTGCTTCAGAACTTCCTCCGGGATCTTTTCCACCAGCATAAGAAGCTCATTTCTGAGGCTAAACTGGAAGAATACACATGCACAATGGTGAGTAATGGAGCCCGGTTATTTCCGGGGTTGGCGGACAACTGCCCACTACCTCCCCAGTACCCGAACCAGTGTCTGAAGTGGAGTGAATCCGAACAATCATTGGCAGAAGAAGCAAATACATTGGGAAATCATAACTCAGGAAACACTGGTTGAAAATCAGTTGCTTGTGTCTCTCTCTTGGGTGTGTACTCCAGAGTGAGGGCTGGTCACCTGTCCTTGGAGAGCGATGTAGGGGAAAGTACAGTCAACATCAGATTCCCCAGTTACAAGGGACTGTAAGTCAGTGTCAATCAAAGTCACCTAGAGGCAAGGGAGCACATCCTTGAGAGTTGGGGCCACATGGTTCTGTGGATGCTGCCTCTAGATGCTCATCTGAGTCATGTATTTGGTGCAGTGGAGTTGCAGACAGAGGAGGCATTGGTTTCTCACCTATGCCATTTGCTTGAGATGTGGGAGAATTAGGCTCTTGACTTCAGTTCTCTGCTCTATACAATGGGATTAATAGCAGCTGGTCCCTGGGAGGGCAAGGGGAGGGTAGCCTGGGTTCTTATTGAAGTATTGGTCCATGCTGTCTTTACACATTCCACTCACAGCAGCCCCATCCCAAGCAATCCTCAGGCTATTCTGGTGTTAAGCTCCTCAAAAATGGCAAAGTAGGAGAAGCTGCCTTTTGCAAGCTTATCCTGATAGTCTGTTTTGATCTAGACTTGAGGAGTTTCTCGGTACTCATTAGCTACATGGGTCTAGTTCCTCTGTCTTTTGCCTTTCTCCAGCCTCCTCTCATTCCAGATAGGTGCTTCATTCTTACCAAAAGTTCACAAGTTTCCAGCACTAAATTAGCTGGCTAAGACTTAAAAGGGTTTCTGCATTTATTATGTAAGGAAATCTCTCTTATTTCTTTCCATCTACTTGAAAGGCAGAGAGAGAGAGAGAGAGAGAGAGAGAGAGAGAGAGAAAGAGGTAGGGGTCGGGGAAAGGAAGAGGACATGGGAGTGGGCAATGGAATAAAGAATCTTGTATCTCCTGGTTCAGGCGGCCCCAAAACCTAAACCAGCCAGAGCTGGGCCAGGCTCAAGCCTGTAGCCTGGGATCTCTGTTCATGTTTCTCCTGTGGCTGGCAAGGGCCCATTCACTAGAACAGGGGTCAGGAATGTCCAGCCCACAGGCCATATAAAGACCATGGAATCATTTGGTCTGATCCAGCCAATGCAACCACCTGTGAAAGTCAAACTTCAATAAAGTTGACAGGCTAAGTTTTAAGTTGATAATTTCTTAAACATTAAAAATTTTTATTTTAAATGAAGAGTTATAGAGAAAGAGAGAGGAGAGAGAGGAGAGAAACCTTCCATCTGCTGATTCACTGGTTCACTCTCCACAGGTCTGCAACAGCTGAAGCTGGGCCAGTCCAAAGTCAGGAGCACAGACCTTCTTCCAGTTTTCCCATATGGGTACAGGAGCCCTAGCACTTGGCTGCCTTCTGACGTTTTCCCAGGTCATTACCAGGGAGCTGGATCAGAAATGGAGCAACCGGGTCTAGAACTAGTGTCCATATGGAATGTCAGAAGCGGAGAATTAGCCCACTATGCCACAACACTGGCCCTAAAATGATAATTTGTATGGCCCACGAATGACATTAACAATATCCAAATTATCTTCATCAGAACAAAGTTTCCCTGCCCATGCTGGAGTCATCATCTACTGCATCTCAGGATACATTAGCAGAAAGTTGGATAAGAAGCAGTGTAGCCAGGAGTGGAACCAGCAGGTATCCCAAGTGGCAGCTTAATCCACTTGCCACACTAGGTCTGTCCCCTAGAGTTCTTGAGCACCTTGGCGTGAATAGTCTTAGACATATTTTGCTGAGAGAAATTTGTGACCCTAACCTGATATATTATTTCTAGAAACTTCTCTGTGGTGTTGGCATTGTTCGTAGTATTTTCTATGCCTGATGATGATGGCTTAGAACGTACCTTTGGTCTAGGCAGCTTGCAAATCCTATGGATACGAGAAAATCTGGTGCCAAGGATGGAATCAAATCTCAGGAGATGATATCAGTTAAGGAAAGATTTGATCTTCTTACTGTGTTTATTTTCATACAATGCAAAATGAAGTTTAAGAACCTAAGATGTGTTTAGTATTGGAGGGAATTGGGAGAATCCCCAGGAGTGAGGAGCAGTTTCTAGTAGGTTCTACCCTGCAATTGACTAAATAATATGAAAAGGGAAATTAGACCAAAACTGCCTGGGAGATGGAACAACATGGATGTGCTTTTTCTAGCAGGGCATAAACACTCAGTGATGAGCATTTCCCCAGGTGACAGTTTCTTTCTTTCTCCTGCTTGCCTGCCTTCCTTCCTTCCTTCCTTCCTTCCCTCTTTCTGATACTCCATTGTACTTTTCTAAAGATTTATTTATTTTTATTTGCAACTCAGATGTACAGAGATGAGAGACATAGAGAAAGATCTTCTGTCCACTAATTAACTCTAAAAGTGACTGCAATGGCCGGAGCTGAGCCATTCTGAAGCCAGGAGCTGGGTACTTCTTTAGGGTCTTCCATGTGGGTGTAGAGTCCCAAGGCCTTGGGCCATCTTTTACTGATTTCCCAGGCCACAAGCTGGGAGCTGGAAGTGGAGTAGCCGGTATATAAACCAGCACCCATAATCCTGGCATGTGCAAGTGGAGGATTTAGGCACTAGGCTATCCCGCTGGCCTCAATCCTGTATTTTACCCTTTATGCCTGGTTTAAATTAGCTGGTCTCTTGTCTTCTTGCATCATTAGGTCTTGATATTTGCCTCTCTGATCCAGATTAATGAGATGCATCTGATTCTCTGGTCTGAGATGTCTTCTTTTTCCATCTCTACCCTCACTGCTGGGGGAACTCAGCCAAGCTCATAGTTTTAAATATTAACAAAGTACTGTCCCTCCCCAATGTGTTTATGTAACTCAGGCCACTTCTCTAAACTTCTTTTTTTTAAAATTTACTTCTTTTTATTATTATCATTTTATTATACAGTTCCATAGAACATGGGATTTCCCTCCCAATTCCCTTCCCAATTCCCTCCTGCCCTCACAAAATTCCCCTATATCATTACTATAGTATAGTTCTTCATACACAATCATATGTCCATCATTGTGGGCATGGACAATGGCAGAGAGTCCAGCATCCTATTGTCAAGATATAGTAAACAGTTTCATTGTGAGTCCATCTTTGTCTGGAAGTAGAGATGCACATTGCTTTGTATCCTCACATCTGGGTATGATAGTCTTCATTACACAATTACTATATATCTCCTTAAATGAAAAGCCACAATAAAGAATCAACAACAGGTGTCTAACAATGGAGGCATTGTGGAGATGTGGACATAAAAACAAAAGCAGCATTCCCACGAAGACAACAAGTTACTTAGAGGATGACCAAAGTGCAGAGTGCTTTAAGGAAGTGGAGGAGAGTGAGTTGAAGGAGAATGGGATCACAGCATGCAGGGATTCAAAAGCCATGAGGAGGAGGAGTTTGTGTTTCAGGTGAATTTTCCCATCATATTTTCTATTTCTGATAAGACTGTTGTCGGGATTTTGATTGGGTCACACTGAATCTGTATATTACTCTCAGTAATATAGACATTTTGAAGATGTTGATCCAGCTGCTCCAGCAACATGGTAAATTCTTGGATCTTTTAGTGTCTTCTCCTAATTCTTTTAAAAATTCATTGTAATTTTCATTGTAGAGGTTTCCCACATTTTTAGTTAGGTTAATTCCAAAGTATTTAAGATTTTTCTCCATTATTTTAAGGAGAAATGTGCTCATGAGGTCTTTCTCAGCCATGGATCTATTTGTGTATACTAGAGTCATCAATTTATGTTCATTAATTTTGTATTCTGCTAACCTGCAAACTCTCTTGTGACTGCCAATACTCTGCTGATGAGTCATTTCGTTCTATAAAAAGGGTCATTTCATCTGCAAACAGGGATAATTTTAATTCTTCATTTCTGATTTGAATTCTTTGTTTTTTCTTACCTACTAGCTCTAACAAAGGCTTCCAGTACTATGTGGAATAGCAGTTGTGAAGTGGACATCCTTGTCTAGTTCCAGGTCTTACTGGAAAAAGCCTCCAGTAAGCTTTACCCATTTAGTATGATGCTGATTTGGGTTTTTCATATACTACTCTGATTGTGTCATAAATGTTCCTTCTATGCCTATCTTATTTCGGATTTTTAGTGTGAAGTGGTGTTGAATTTTTATCAGATGCCTTCTCTGTATCTGTTGAGATGATTGCGTGGTTTTAATTTTTCAATTTATTGGTGTGGTATAGCACATCTATTGATGTGTATATATGTTAAACCAACCCTGCATGCCAGGTCTGGGTGAATGTCTGTTCTGTTTATTATTAGATACGTTGGCCAGTGTTTTGTTGATGCCCTTTTCATCTGTTCATCAGGGATATCAGTCTGTAGTTCTCTTTCTGTCTTGTCTCTCTCTCTGGTGATGTTGGCTTCATAGAAACAGTTTGGAAGGATTGCCTCTTTTTCTAATGTTTTGAAATAGCTTGTGGAGGATTCGGGTAAGATCTTCTTGAATCGTTTGGTAGAATTTAGCAGTGAAGCCATCTGGTCCATGACCTTTCATGGTTTAGAAGGATTTAATTACTGATTCAGTCTTCTTTCTGGTTATAGGGCTGTTTAGATTATTGGTTGTGTCATGGTTCAATTTGGTATATTCTGCATCTGTAGGATGAAATGGTATAGATGCCAATTTAGTCCATGTGTTCTATTTTCTGAATGAGCTCTGCGTTTCCTATTGAGTTTCTGTCTTATTAATGTGTCCATTAAGGTTAGCATGGTGTTAACCCCCCAACTATTATGGTGTTGGAGTCTAGTCTACCCTTTACCTATTAATATTTGTTCATATAGCTAGGTGCCCTGGCATTTATTGTGGTGATTGTTTCTTGCTGACCAGATCCTGTGATCATTATGTAATTTCCTTCTTCATCTGTTTTAAT